TTTCCATATGATCTCTACCTGCCCTGAAGTATAACGCCTGTCTTGGATTACCCCTCTCGTCTCGCCCTGTTCGGATACTGTTTATTCCTCGCCTGGACCATCGCTTGTGTTTCAGATTACTCTTCAGTCTTGCCCTCTATATACCTGTTTGCCATTGTCCGACCCTTGCCTGTTTTGACTATGTTTCAGAATAAAGCTTTGCACACAGTGTTGCCAATTTAGCTACTTTGTAGCTAGATTTAGCGACTTCCCCGCCCCTTTTGAAACTTTTTTCAGAAGTTTAGGGACAAATATAACAACTTCTTGGACAAACCTTATCCAAGTTCTCATCTTGCCCACTGATCTACGTTCATCTTTATATAGATCAGTGAATTTGCCATTGTGATGTCATCTAGTGACATTTAGCTACCAGTTTTAGCTACTTTCAATTGAAAGCAGTTGGCAACACTGTTTGCACATGGATCCGCACGCCTCTCGTCTTGTTTGCCCCGTAACAGTTATTAAAGACTTAAAAACTTTGAATAAACATTAAATGTTACTGGAAAAATGTTTGTTCGTAACATTGAGATAACCTTGCCAGAATGTTCCTTGTTAGCTGGGATGATATTAGTGTGCTAAAACTTTAAATCACTTTAGAAATATACTTGAAATAGCATGATTGTCAGCTATGTGGAGTTTCGTATCAAAATATACATTGCTGATTCTGCATTCTGTAGCATTTCTATAGCTGTGAATGCGGCCTGAAAATCGAAAACATCATTCAAGTGGAAAGTTTGTGTCACTGGTCTTGACTTCATCATTTTCCACTCTTTGTTGCTATTTAAAACGGACAGCAGCTATTTATATAATTACTATTTTGATTTTCGCAAGGCAAGTTTTACCTACTAATCTGTCTATTTTTCTTAAATTTCTCTTTCTGTTCTGTTTTTCATGTCGGCTCTTTATGCAGATGTTCTTCAATAGCCCCGTGTGGGTGGAAGATGGTGGTGAGGTACATGGAAAACAAACAAAAAAGACATTTAGACACTCACAGTCAGTTCTCACTTCACTGTGCTCATTTACATGCCACTTGCTGGAAGTCTACAACCACGCGGCCTCTATAGTACTTCCTCTGTTCGTGGGCTTGTGTTGTTTTTCAGTCAACTGTTGATTTTAATCTGAATTTATGCATTGGTTTTATTTTAAGGCAGAGGCTATTTGCACTAATTGTAAGTAATAGTTATGCTAGCAGTTATTTATACTTAGTGCAAATAGTAGCAGATGCTATTAGCACCTCAGTGTATTGTAATAGCCTACATTATGAAACAATAATAACAACATAATCAGTGTATATGATTACATTTATAAAATTCATAAGTGGATGCTGCCTTATTGGAACCTTGCTTGTTCAATAGCCCACCTTTAAACGCATTAGGCACTTTATTTCCACTTTTTGAATGTTTTCTTTGAAACCGGGTTAGTCGCATCAAAGCCAAAGCCACTATCTTTTCTGATCACAACACTGTTACCAGATCTGTTTCTTTTGTCATTTCGTGTGGTTCAACCAGACAATGGTGAGTGGAGTTTGTGTAAATTTAGCCTTTGCCGAAAAGACGAGTTATTTGCATTTCGTGTAAATTATTGTGTATAAATAATTAAATAATTATTTAATTATTTATACAGCCCATTATTTTAATTATACAAGTGGCAAAATGCTTTAAAATTGGCATGAAACGGAAATTGCGATCTGTGTTGCTTATTGAAAACGAAAAAATGTAAGGACTTTGACTTTGACTATTGGGAATTGATTGGATCATTTACTAATTGCTGAAATCTCATGTGAGAAACAGGTAAAAAGATGAGCAAAAAATTATGTGCAAAAATAAATAAATACATAAATTAATTAATATTTATAATAAGCACAGTAATATAGACCATAAATATATATATTTTTAAATCAGTTTAAATTTCATGGTGATTTTAAGATGTCAAATGGGGTTCATAAGTAGTATATTTTCATGTGTAATAATAATAATGTGCAATCAACAATCAATCAATAAACAAACATTATGGCATTATCTAAACCTAAGTAGAACGTCTCGGTTACTTGTGTAACCCTCGTTCCCTGAAGGAGGGAACGGAGACGTTACGTCAGTCGTGACTGACGAATTGGGATCTCGCCCGAGAGCCCAATCACCTTCGAGTGTTAACTAAACAAGCCAATGACAGTTGGCGTGCGTGTTTCGCCACGCGCACCCTGCCCCGCAGCGCGGGTATAAAAGGAGAGCGCGTGCAAACGCACATCAGTTTTTCGCTGAGCGAGATCCCAATTCGTCAGTCACGACTGACGTAACGTCGAACGTGACTGACTGAAAGGGAACCTATTTAACATCTGCAATTAATGCAGGCTTATGGTTTGAATTTGAACTGTGCTATTTTATTTTATTTTTTATATTTATATTTGATATATATTTTAAATTTTTATATTTATATTTTATAGATTAAAAGATGGAAAATCTTCCATTGACTTCCACTGACTGTGGCATCAAGATGTAACCAATTGTCATTAATATTTCTATAGCTCCATTGCAACTGCCATTCATTATTGCACTTATTTGCATAATGAATTATTGCTGGCAATTTTATTTTCTTATCTATTTTTAACCATATAGTCACCATTTATAACTCAAATTTGCTGTTGCATTGTTTGCTGATTCTCGTAATATGCAGCCAACAGAAAACTAAAACTTATTTATGCAGAACTAAAACCCAAAGCTAGTGAAAACTTTGACACTTTTTCTTCAGCTATCTTGCAGTCACTAGCATTCTTTCAGGAAATGTCAAACGAATTGCTCCACGAGAATGATGTAACATATGAGACAAAATTATTTTTGCCTGTAATAGATGCACTGAACAGTCGTTTCCATAGCTAGGCACATAAAACCTTTAAAACAGCATTTGCCATTGAACTGAATTGGTAGAATATAGAAGTGTAAGTTGAATATAGGAAACCTATGCAGTGCAAAGAATCATGCATGCACTCATCGATGCGTGAAGATGTTCAGTGGGTGGCATGGCTGATTGAAACCAGCTCTTGATGAGCAACAGAACAAAGGCAGAGTTGTAAATGGGAGGATCATAAATAGCATATTCAAGTTCAGCAGAGAGGAAGTGGACTTGTGCTCACTATTAACCACTAACATTAAGCTCACAAGCTAAGCTCCATTAGATCATCTCAATGGGTAAGTCCTTTTATTAATTTGAAACAAATCCTTCTACATGATGACACCTGGTATTCTGTTAATTGTTGCTTTACAGATTTTGCTTTTGGCTTAAAATACTGGGGTAGATCATGGGGCTCCGGAGAGGCGATGTAACTTGTGTACATCCCTCCGAACTGATGAAAAAGAGAAGGAACTCGTTTGAGTTTGCATCCTCTTTCAGGGGATTTCTGCTGGTTTTTATTTTTAGAGGATGTTGTAGAAGGTCCCAAATCTGGAGGTATCGTCATAGTAAGTCTGTTATTGCTATGGCAAACTACTGTAGTTCATAAAATTCTGTCATAATTGGGTGGTTTTGACGTACGGATCAGTTGAAGATCATTTGGATGGTGTTGGGTGTCACATATGCAGATAAACAGCATCAAGTGGAGTTAAAGAGGAGACATTGTTCGGTCCTTTTTTTTTTTTTACAATAGATTAATTCATTGTGTTTCTATTTGAAAGATTAAACTTTCATGATTACGGTTACTGCTTCGTTTTTTATTTTGAAATGTACTCAAAATGTAACTATATTTTGGCCCAGATTTTTATGTAACGTTGGATACACTCGCAATATATACTATAAAGCAACTGCTAGATTGCTTGTGTCGTCGCAAAATGTTACTATAATAGTGCCCAACTAAATAAGTCATAAAGAAGTGAAGATATTACAAACATTAACATCATGATTTTCAGTAAAGCATCTTTGGAATGAATGTGTATTGTGAAAATATATAGAGACGATGCGCTATAGACGTAAATCTGACTAGACTTTGACGAATAACTGAGGTAACTGAATTTGAGTTGTAATTCTCTGTATAGTCTGTAATTGTATTACAAATTTGGTCAGCTGTGTGTCATGTGTCATGCTTTTATGTAGTTTGCTCTATACAACACAGGCAACAGTGTTCATAAAAAGGAAGTAAGAAAAGGCTTTGTTTACCTGTGGGAACACCTGTATTTACCACATGTTCAGGAACGTGACTATATATGACTGTTGGCATTCAAAATTCAAAAGTATTTATTTATAAAACAAAGGCTATTCTTGTTAGCTAGGTGCTTGCTAATTGGTCAAAACGTTTTGACCAATATTTGGCTAGAGAATTTTGGATTTTGTTGCTCATTTCTGTGACAATTGTAAATCGTATTGCTTAGAAAAGTAATAGGACACATTTGAGTTACAATTCATGTAGCAGAAACCGTTTCAGAGGAGTTACGTGTCAAAATTTAGTAGTTAAGATTAGGGTTTGTTGTTCAAGTCTCTAACCTTAATATGAGCAAGTCATACTAACCACTAACGGACGATTGTCTATTCGCGCTCAACCGTGAAGTTTTAACACAGCACACTTCTGTTTTTTTAGACTTTGGTAGTCTTTGGTTACATGAATGTACATAGAGGCCTACAGGCTACGAGATATTTCTAGGAGTCAACATAGCTGTTGCAAGCTTGTCAGACTAGCCGCCTCGACTACGTCATTTCATGTTAAAAGAGGTGGAAAGTCCCTGCCAGTGAATTCAAGTCCTGAGAACTTTGGCCAATCAGTTTGTCCACACAGCCACCAAAAGGAAGTGACTTCGTGACACAGAAAAAGGCCGCGCCAATGTGGGCCTTGAGAGGAAATGACTTGCACTGTGCGTGAGCCTGAGATCACAGGCCATCTCCGCTCGCCTCCGCTCTATCAGTCGTGCCTGAACCCTCAACAAACTCGCTCGACTTCCGACTGTGCGCCAAGCATCAACCAGAGAACATGGTGACAAACACCAGCCAGTACAAATGGCTCTTTCTGTGAAAAAAAATCGCTCCTTTGGTCATTTGCAACAGTCGCATGCGAAGATGTGCATCCAAGATTTCTGTAACAAGTAAGTATGTGGGTTTCTTTGCCTTTGTGCTTTTCGAGTCCTCTTAGAAATCCATAATCTGGTAGTCTGCGACTACATTAACGATGGTATTGATTATTTGCTTTTTAAGCTTCTTTTTGATTTTGAGTTGCCAAGCTATTGCAAAGTGGTTAGTAATTCCCACAAGTTTGAGGATTGCCGCAGTTTGTGGACTAGTATTGTGCTAGACCAAAAAGTAAATGTGATTGTGATTTCTTGTCGATTTTAAGAAGTACAGTAAAAACGTGGGTAGTTTGTGGTGATGGACTGAAGTGCACCCACATGGTGCCCACAAAATACAGTAGTGCTTATTAATGTTGGCCACATATAATCTGTAGTTTGCCTCCAGATAAAATGTAAGATGTGGATTGAATGTAAAGAACATGTCCTTGTGTTTTTTCATTCATACTGTTTTTTTTGCAGGGAAAACCCCTACCGTACTCAAGGCCGCAAAATGTACTTTACATTACACCTTTACCGCTAAACTCCTACCTAATGTAAAATGTGTTTACATGACCTTTTCAGTCTGGATGCACATGCATCCGTACACATTAGAATATGGGGGCGCATCCAACTGACTGTGAAACTGATGTTGTTATAACTAACCTGTGTGGGCAGATGTTTGAGACGAACGTCATGTGCCATTGATGGAGGCTGTGTTTCGTGTGTACCTCATCTCCTGTTTTATTTTAAAGCCTTTCTTCCGTTTTTAAGTGATGTGCACATATTAGCAGGCAGGAAATGCAGGAAGGATGTAGATGCAGAGCAAAAATAATTACAGCAACTGCTGCCCACAGACTCTTTTCTTACCTTTGGTTTGTAACATGCATTAACATAAGAGAATGGTGCCCTCATTGAAAAAGCCTTGTGTAAATAGAGATAATTTTGTTTAATTTAGTTCTAAATTGTACCCTCTGAAATGCCTCACATTTTAAAAATAAAATGGAAACTGTGTTTGAACTCTTAGCACTTCATGCTTATCAACACATGAAGTTGCATTTCTTCAACAACAGGATCAGGAAGTTGTTTGAACAAGGCTAAAATCTTCCCCACCCCACCCTGTTTTTTTTTTACAGTTTCTATAGAGCATGACTAGCCTGTGTCTGATTACTGTCTGTGTTTATGTTCTTCTGGAGATTTAAGATTAATATTTCATAGCTTAGAGTAACCCATGTGTTTGTTTGCAGTGGCAGGGCGTTACTGGGTCATTCTGGGTAATACTTGAATACTTGACAAGTTTTTATTTTTGCTACACTTTATTTGAAGGTGTCCTTATTACAATGTAATTATATAAGTAAGTAATGAGTAATATTAATTAAAACATGTTCTTACAGTAGGGTTTGGATTAGGATTAGTTGAATGTAAATTTGCATAAATACTATAATAATGAAATGTAACATGTAAAAAGGACACTGTAAAAAAGTGGGTTACACTTTATTTTAAGGCGTCCTTGTTACAATGTAATTATACATTTAAGTACTGAGTAATATTAATTAACTACATGTACTTATTATATGGTTAGGGTTGTGATTAGGGTTTGGCTTAGGGTACTTGCATGTAATTATCCATAATTAATTGTTATTATAATAGTAAGTACATGTAACATGTGTAACAAGGACACAAAATAAAGTCTTACCAAAAAGTTTTTTTTTTTTTAATGTTTTGTTGGATGTGCATGGAATTTACCACAGGGACATGTATAATGTAAACAAAATAGTAAATATAATGTAGTGGTTGATTTATTGAGAAACGATTTAAATACAAACTCATTTTACATGCTTTAATATCTACAGTAGTCAACATTTGAAGTGCATCAAAAAAGTTCATCAAAGTTGTCCTAAGACAAGAACGCATTTTGGTTTTAGGACAACTTTGAAAGGTTTTAATCCACTTCAAATGTTGACTAGTGTAATTCAGACTTCATTTTATATAGCACGGAGCATGTAAGAAATGTCTTAAATTGTTGAGGTTTAAAAAGCACTGGAACACTATATATATTATAAATATTTAAAAACCTTTATTTGCCTAATAATTTGTGATATTTGTGAAAAAGGAAACACTTTTTTGAAAATAATTATTAAATTGTGTATTGAGGTGTAAAATATATGTATGTTGTGTACACCACATGACATTTTTAGAGGCATTGCATTACATTTTTATTTTTTTTAATAATGGTTAAGATGTTTGAGGAGCATGTGTTGTGTGTGTCAGATTTTTAGAAGCATTACATTTACATTTTGTTAAAAAGTTTGCAAAAAATGTTTTGCAAGTTCAAATTGTAATGGTGACAACTTGAAGACAATAGCAATAGTCATGACTTCTAAGACTTCAAATAGTCTTAGAAACACTACTAAAAAAAAAGAAAAGAAAAGAAACATAATTATACTCGGTTGCACAAGTGTCAACAAAACACACATGCCTCTATCTTGTGTTAAATGACACCTGATGTCAATCATGGTTGGAAACATTGAGCAACAGAGATGAAAAGACAGTCTGCTGGTAGAGTTCTTGTGCAGACTCTTTTTAACCTCATTACATCAACACCAAAACCTCAAGAGAAAGAAGCACTTCTATAAGAAGGCATGCCACAGCCAGAAACAAGCTACAATGGAATTAAAATACTGATGCTGCTCTTTTAATTTCCTTGAAGTGAAGTCTGTAAGAAGGTCAAGAGCATTTTGCTGACAGTGCCACACTAAACTTCTACTTAACTCCTAAAAATAGCATCCCTTTGCCACAAGCACGCTCCTGGACCATAATTCTTTGGTTGGATATTATAATGTCATGATGAGATGCACTACGCTACCATTACACTTCTCATTTAGGTCACGATTGTCCCATGGGATTCTAATCTCCCCACTCCACCCAGTGTTAGATGGACTTTCCTCCGTTCCCGTCTGTATCTGCTGACTGGCACTCAGACCTCCAGTATTACGAATAAGTAATAGCAAATTCCACTGTGCGCTCCACAGCCCAGGAGGGGCTCAAACTTTCCAAAGGAAATGTAGGGTTTCCTGTCCTTTCTATGTGCTGGTAAGGTTTTTGCTGGAGGTTTGGAGATAGCTGTGAATTCTGTGGTGAGACGAGCATGTCCTCAAACTCTTGATGCTCTCTGGTCTCTTCTGGCAGTATGTTGAGAGAGAGTAAAGCAGTGCAGAGCATCAGAAGATGTGTCAGCAGAAGGTAAGCGTGTGGGATCATGGGACGCTTGGGTTGGTGTTTGGAGAAGTTTGTTTAGAGTTGGGTGTTTAAGTAATGTAGAGTTATGTGGTGTTCGTGATCACAAAATACTCTTATGTTGTCATATTCCTGGGAATTCACTTGGTATTACTAAAATGCTACATTGAAATTGTGGATGTGTAGCAGGAATTTTGTTTTGGTTCCTGTGATTGTTAATGCTTTTGGATGGCTGTTGTGATTTTTCATTGTTTATGATTGTCTGGGTTTGCTCACTTTGTTTAAAAGAATGTATATTATTTGGTTTGGTTGGTGATTTGTTATGTCTGGTTCTAGTATTATCTGTTTAGATGTTGAAGGTTTTCGTATATCGTTTAGTTTTGCACAGTGGTTCTCAAACTTTTTGACTCCAAGGCCCCACGACATCAAGTCCTCTTGACTTTTCCTGTTGTTCATGATTTTTTGGATCAAGGAGAAGGATTTAAAAAAATACTTTCACTCACAATTTCTACCCAATGAAACATTTTAAAGGGGTCATATGATGCGATTTCAATTTTCCTTTCTCTTGGGAGTGTTACAAGCTCTTGGTGCATAAAGAAGATCTGTAAAGTTGCAAAGACTAAAGTCTCAAATCCAAAGAGATATTCTTTATAAAAGTTAAGAGTCAACCACACCTACCTAAAACGGCTCGTTCTAACACGCCCCCACATGTCTACGTCACTATGTGGGAAGATTTGCATAACGCCGCCCAAATGTTCACGCAAAGAAAGAAGGCGTAACTTTTATTCTCGCTGTAGTATTGTTGTTGCCGCCGCCGCCATGTTGTGAAGACGCTGTGTGTTTCGTTGTGAAAGCGAAACTACTTTGTTTGGTCTTCCAAAAGAGGTTCATTACACCAAATACACAAAATAATGTTCTTTTTAGCAACATCATATGACCCCTTTAAAGCTTGGTATAATTAGAAAAAAAGTGTACACAAAATTTATACAAATTCACATGGAGTTATACGATTTAATGAAATTACATGACTTTTCTAGGTCAACAGAAATACTTTTAAACACTTTTAAAATTAGGCAACTTCATATATCCAGGTTTTCCAACCGTGGTTTTTCAAAGAAACTGTTATTGAGTAAGTGAATTAAAATAGGAAATATCTTGTGTTTTAATTGTTTTCATTTATTTTAATTGTTTGTTTTATCTTATTTTAAATTATTTTAAGTCATCTTCACACCACCTTGGAGGTTTGCTGAGGCTCCCCAGTTTAGCACCAGTTTTTTTTTTTTTTTGGTTCATGTAATATTATTTACATCAGTATATCCAGACTTATGGAAATTGTGTGGTATATTCAACGTTAACTCTTAATTGCTCCAATGATTATATATTTTTGAAAGCTAAAGGACGATATCATGACCCTGATTCCCTCGACAAAAAAAATAAAAATAAAGTCGGATTTTTCCATTGGCTTTTGGATTATTACAGAAAATAAGATCTGGTGCCAACAAACGTTTCCGATTCTTAAATGTTTTGTTCATCATGGTAATATTCACATTTATAAATGTTGAAGCCTAAATCCAATCGCCAAAAGTAAAAAGCTAAATGTAGACTGGTTGCATGACTTCAATGTAACCATCACTTAGCTTCCCACAACTCTTTCAGTCTTTCTGTATAAAAAAAAATAAATTCTACAAAAGTTTGAGTTAGGATATTTTTAAGAGCCTGATTTAAAACACAATGAGGATGTGAAAGCGATGAGTGAGTAAATGAGTTAATCTGTTCAGCTTGATGGCATTTAATGTCCTGACAACATCTGTAGTGACATTTAGACACTTGTTAGCAACCTCCTTTTTCATGATGACTAAAAGCTTAAAAAAAAAATCACAAGGGGGTATAACTTACTAAATTTATGTTGTAGAAGAAAATGGGAAAATATGTTGAGCTTGTGTTCACCACAGACCTTATTTCAGGCATTTGGATAAAAACACTTTCAAAAAACTCATTTGACTTCAGGATGATGGAGCCAGAAATTATAAAAAAAAATACTGTACGTTACTTGCAGAGGGACATTGTTCTGGTTTATTACATCAGTACATCAGAAGTGCTCTTCTGCATGAATGAATCTGATGGTTTGAGGTTTACCCATGGTTGCCCATGAACGTCATCTCAGAATGAATCTGATTAACTTCACCAAGATCTCTGCTAATAAGATACTTCTACAAAATGTAATCTAAGCTTCTCTGCATATCTGCCATCATTGTACCCCGACCTTCTTTAGTTGTAGGTTTACCACTGAATTGGAAGAAGACGAGATTGCAGTTTTAAACTTTTTTTTTTAATGTATTGGCTCAACAGCTCTTTCTAATGAAAGATTAAATGAGAAATCCTCTGTAATGTAGGCCTACCTTTTAGTAGAGATGCCCAACAAACAAAGTGATGTTAATAACAGGTCTACAAACTTAAAAAGTAAAGTTCATTAAATGGATAGTTCACCCAAAAATGAAAATTCTGTCATTAATTACTCACCCTCATGTCGTTCCAAACCCGTAAGACCTTCGTTCATCTTCGGAACACAAATTAAGATATTTTTGATGAAATCTGAGAGCTCTCTGACCCTCCCATAGACAGCAAGGTTACTACCACGATCAAGGTCCAGAAACGTAGCAAGGACATCGGTAAAATAGTCCTTGTGACATCAGGGGTTCAACCGTAATATTACGAAGCTACGAGAATACTTTTTGTGCGCAAAGAAAACAATAATAATTTATTCAGCAATTCTTCTCCCCGAGTTACCGTCTTCCAAACGTAATGTAATCAACGTAATGTTTAAACTACGTAATGTTTAAATGTTAAATGTTGTTTACGTTCAGTAGACAGCACGCGCATGCTGAACATAAACAACGCTGATTACGTTGATTACGTTCTGGGGTGCTCTCCAAAATAGCGGAAGACGGTAACTCGGGGAGAAGAATTGTTGAATAAATTATGTTATTATTGTTTTCTTTGCGTACAAAAAGTATTCTCGTAGCTTCGTAAAATTACGGTTGAACCCCTGATGTCACGTGGATTATTTTACCGATGTCCTTGCTACATTTCTGTGCCTTGATCGTGGTAATATCATTGCTGTCCTTGGAGGGTCAGAGAGCTCTCGGAATTCATCAAAAATATCTTAATTTGTGTTCCGAAGATGAACGAATGTCTTACGGGTTTGGAATGACATGAGGGTGAGTAGTTAATGACAGAATTTACATTTTTGGGTGAACTAACCCTTTAAGATTTGATTTTGAAAGTTATGTTTTTAAAAATAAAGGTTCTTTAATGGCATTGATGGTTCCGTGAAGAACCATGAAACTTTGCATTGCACAAACGGTTCTTTAGTGGAAAGAATTTTGAATTAGAATTTTTTTAAATGTTCTTCATACTAAGAAAAAAAGGTTATTTTAAGAACTGTTGACTGAAAGGTTCGTTGGGAAACCGAAAATGGTTCTTCTAATCCATGGCATCACTCTTTTGGAAGCTTCTTTTTTAAAGAGTGTTGAATAGTGTTTTATACCAATAATTCAGTGATGTAATCTGACTATTAGCACAGCTGTGATTTGGCTTTAGGCTTAAGATGTTCTGGTAGTTGTTACAGCAGGGCTAGTGTGTTCTGAGTGGTTGTTGCTATGTGGTTACTAGAGTGTTCTGGGGTAATCGTCGAGTATGAGGCTAACTAACATTGCCAATCAAAAATAAACCTTTATTGTTGCTTACAGAAACATGGCTGCTACGCCGGTCTCCTGGCCCATTCCCATGAGGGCTATCGGAGCTCAGAATCTGCTCACCATGCCGGGAGGAGTCAGCACATCTGGATATCTGCACAAGAAAGGGGGCAGCCAGTTCAGCCTGATGAAATGTGAGTTTAGCTCGGCTCATTAGAATCTATCAGTCAACAGACAAAACATCAAACATACATTAACATTAGTTAAAGGAAAAAACATTACTGAGAGTAGACTACAATGCCGGCTGTTCTGACTCACAGACTGTAAGTACGTTTTTTATATTTAAAGAATTTGCCACTGATGATTCAAACGCGAGTTTTGAGCAGTGTAGAGTAGCGCTTGTTGTTTGTCATTTCTCCGATCACAAATGCAGACATGGTTTTATGTTTACGTGGCGCGATGCAACGCAACACTTAAAAAGACAGTATAAATCATTATAATCCGTAATTATGTCCCCACTGGATGCAACAAATGCCTCGTTTATAATGGGTTTTAATGTTTTTGTCTCGTCGCTCCGGCCGGGACACGGCATCACAGTATGGTAAGGGCGTAACATTTTCGTCTCACTCTTGAGGTATTCGCCCAATCACAACGCACTGGATAGCTGGCCAATCAGAGCACACCTCGCTTTTCAGACCAATGAGCTTTGTAAAAATTTTCACGTTTTCAGAAAAACGTTTCAGAAAGGCGGGGCATAGAGGAGAAACAATAATGTACAGTATGTGGAAAATAATGTGTTTTTTGAACCTTAAACTGCATAAACACATTTCATTACACCAAATACACAAAATAATGTTATTTTTAGCAACATCATATGACCCTTTAAAATTAAATTTAGATCAGTAAATAATGCAAATCGCTCATTGTTCATAAAACCTAATGCATTAACAAATTGAACCTTACTGTGAAGTGTTACCAAATACTACTATAAGAAATGAACACTGAAGTGCTACTACAAACAATTTTGCTTTCATTTATGCGCTGAAAGTATTGTGCTGTTTATGTGGACATATATTGAGTTTCTGTTGATTTCACAGGGCCTCTTCGCTTCATCATAATCCACAAAGGCTGTATCTACTATTTCAAGAGCAGTACTTCTGCCGCACCTCAAGGAGCGTTTTCACTCAATGGCTACAACAGGTTGGTTATTAGTTCTTATTTCCATTGTTTATTTCCATAGGTCTCCCTTATAACACTGCATTTGTTCATATGATGCTCTCATGCACCTGTGATCATTTCAGTGGCCCACCTCTCTGTACTCAATTTTGCAATCTACATGTTAAGTTACCAGTGACCATCTCGGCACGATCGCAGGCCACATCCTGTCCACAGCTGTGCGTTCTTCATGCGGCCTTTTTTAAGTGCAAGAGTTTCAATTCTGCACCGAACTGGCCTTCATACGCGTTTCCTGTACATGTAAATGCAACAATTGCGTGTCTGTCGGTCATACTTAAGGTCATACTTTCCATGAAGTTAAAGTGGTTGAAAGTGTTTAGATTCCTGCTGTAGTTCGTCCTCAGCATATGGTGAACATGTAATTATTGTGCATGATTTTTTCCTGCTGTGGTTGGGTAAAAATAGCCCTCTAAATTAATACAGCAGAGCACAGGGAGTGTTCGCGGATGAGCAAGATACATATACGGTCCCTTTAGCCATGTATTTGACACTGAGGTTTACAGCACATTTTAAAACATTTGGGGATTTGGTACAATTTTTTTAAGTTTTTGATTACTTTTTTAAGTTTTTGATTATTTTGATTTGATTACTTATGTTCACCAAGGCTGCATTGATTTGATCAAAAATACAGTAAAAACAGCAATATTTTGAAATATTATTCAAATTAAAATGAACTGTTTTCTATTTGAATATATTTTAAAATGAAATTTATTTATGTAAAGCTGAATTTTCAGCATCATTACTCCAGTCTTCAGTGTCACATGATCCTTCAGAAATCATTCTAATATGCTGATTTGCTGCTCAATAAATTTTTTTTAATTATTATTATTATTATTATTGATATTATTATTATTATTACTATTATTATTATCAATGTTAAACAACAGTTGTGCTGCTTCATATTTTTGTGGAAACTGTTATACATTTTTCCGGATTCTTTGATGAATAAAAAGTTCAATAAACAGCATTTATTTGAAATAAATAGAAATCTTTTGTAACATAAATGTTTTATTGTCACATTTGATCACTTTGCATCAGAATAAATTAAATTTCAAAATATATTTTTGATCAAATTAATGCAGCTATAAACCCCTAACATTTGAATAGTAGAGATTTAAATTAAATGTAAACATTTAAATTAATATATTTTTAAAGACCTCTGTTTTTATTGCTTGGCAGGGTCATACGGGCAGCAGAGGAAACAACATCTAGCAATGTTTTTCCTTTTAAGATCGTCCACTTCAGTAAGAGACACCGTACGTGGTATTTCTCAGCGGCGAGTGAGGATGAGAGAAGGGTGAGATCATAGGCATGTCAGAGAGCATTGCACAACTATGAACTTTTGGGGGGTTTTTTATGTTTAATTAAAACAAAATGTGTGTATTTTTATGTTTGACAGAAGTGGATGCGACACTTAAGAAAAGAAATCAGCTATTATAACGATAAAAGAGATCTGCCTCTTCCAAGGTAAATTGAAATGCTCAATCACTAATGTCAGATGTTAGGTCACTTTGCACTTAGACCACATTTAGGCTACTTGTATTTTCATTTGTGCTTTTTAAACCGCTAATGATGCATGAATTATATTTATATTATTCTTACACAATATGGTTTTTACCTTCACATTTTTTGGGGGGACTTTTTAACACTACAGCTGTAACCTCTTCCTCTTTCTTATAATCACTGCTTGTGAATGTAATTCTGCATTGAAGATTTTAACTGCGTCATCTGAGTCACCTTTCTCCCAAATGGCTTGTGTTTTAATAGTGATGATTTAGATTCTGAGAGCATATATGGGCAGTTAGAGGAGCCGCTAGAAATCAGTCCTGTTGAAGAAGATCCTGAAGCAGGTACACAGTGACAGACATGAAGGTTTAAAATAATGTGTCTCTGCTTTTACATAGTGTAACCATATAACAACATATATGTGTCTGTAAAATATTTATATAAAAGTATATACAATTATTATTAATATATTTAAAAAACTTTTTCAATTAAAAAAAAAAACATTTTAAAAATATTTCATATTTGTATTTAATAGTTTAATTTTCAACAAATGTTGTATTTAAAAACTTAACAATAGAGTCTTGATTCTTAATATTATTTAAATAAATTAGTTAACATGAGCTTACAATTAACAATACTTTGATATCATTTAGAATCATTAACATTAGTTAATGCTGTTAAACACATACTAATACAGTTAACATTAGTTAATGCACTGTGAACTAGCATGAACAAACAATGAATATCGCAGTGTTTTTTAACTTTGTTAATAAAAATATAACTGTCGATTGTTCGTTCATATTAGCCGGTTCATTGAAAAAATATTAACAGGTACAACGTTTGAGTTTAATAATGTATTAGTCAATGCTAAAATTACAATTATTTGTAAATTGTTGGTTTCATGTTAACTAATATAGTTAACTAATGTTAACAAATGTTTATAAAGTATTACCAGTTAGATTAATAATTGCTGTGAAAAGTTGATACAACTGCATTTTTATTGACTTACATTCACAAAGATCCTGAAATAACTAAATGATGTAAAATGCATTGTTCATTGTTAGCTAGTGTTACCGTAATGCATAGGAAAATTATCATTTAGAAGTATTGTTTTTTTAATTATAATTATTATATAATTATATAAATTATAATAAAATTATATCATTAAAAAATTTGATTTTACTAAATATTTGACTCTGTAAATAAATAAATTGCAAAAAAGAAATACGATTTAAAATTGTGCATGACTGAATTTATGTGCATTGTGCATTACTCAATTTATGTATTTTCATTTAGATTATATGACACAAGACGAAGACAGCGATGGAGAGGATATATCGCCTGTGTCCGCAGGTAGATGCCTGATTTTTCTGTCATTTCTTTACTCTCAAAAAAGGGACAAAGCTGTCACAAAGCTAAAAGATACATATTTGTGCCTTATTTTCCCCTAAATGGTACATATTAGCACCTAAAGTGAACATATTTGAAAAGGTGATAATTTTGAACCCAGTGATAGTTTTGCACCTCTTTTCTGAATGGGCTTAGATTAGAGATTGGCACATTTCAGTAGCTGTCTTCAGATTCACTGAGAATATTTGCCTTAGACAGAACCCACACAGTGGAATAACTGTTTGATGTGTTTTTCCAGGTCGACCCACGGTTCCTCCTCCACCGTATCCTCCACCCCCTGTTCCTGTTCAGCCGAGAGAAAACCGCCTCACGAAAGGCCCGCCGCCTCCGCTGCCCCCTCCATTCAAAAAGCCATCCTGTACAGCCAAAGGTCCTCCTCCGCCGCTGCCGTACGCCCCGCACCTAGAGAAACCAGATGTATACCTGTCAAACAGAGGCCCTGGTGGCCCCATGCCTCCTTTACCCCCTCCAAACAGCATGAAGCCCATGACAGGCCCCTTTTCCACGATGCCTGCTTATGAAAAGAAGCCGAATGCCTCTCTCATTGGGAATACGGCGGCTACTTTACCCATCGTTGAGAACCTGCAGAAAGTGATTCTGAACTTGTCGAAACCGCACCTGGGGGTGAAGCCCACACCTGACCCGCGGCCCGTCTCGCCTCACCTGTCCAGCTCCGTCAGCAACAGGGCGCTCGGCCAGATACCCAAGCCTCCGTTACCAAGCAAACCCAAACCCAGCAGACCCTCCTTCCAGTAAGAGTCTTTCATTCTCGTTACTGACACCTGTGTCTGGTTTGGTGTTGCGCCGCAGAGACTTTTATGGCTACAAATGTATCAAGACTGCTGTTTAAAGGGTTAAATATGCTCATGCTCGGTCCTGTTATAGAAAAAGAATAACAACTGCGTTCTTTAACTAGAATGACTTTTTACACACATATGTGAGAGTGTTAAACCACACATGTGAGAGTGTCGCAAAACGCTTCAAAGATTAGAATAAAATGTCCTATATTACAAATCCTTAAAGAGTCATAATATAGTGTTTGTTTTTGCATAAAACATTTAAATATTTTCAAAATCGACATCTTTGTATTCATGTTGATTTCATGTTCATGTTTTAAAAACATTCATTTTTAAGAAATGTAATGACTCTGAAAATGTCATGCGGTGTAACCGTCAAATAAGAATTAGTTCAAAATTTCCTTACACTTTGAATACATGTGAGTGTACATATCTTAATCATTATTATAACACAGTGATTTATGGTTTAAATTGGCTGATTATTTAATTAATATTTTATCTGATATTCTATTCAATATTTTTAAAGGCAACAAATATTTTTACAATTAGTAATAGTAATATATACTGTATATATATTTTTTGTTTGGAAATTCATACTTGACATTTTAAAACCTGAACTAACCTTGCCTTGTCATATTAATGTCATGAGAGGTCTTCTTTATCTTCAAATCATATTATATCAGTTTCCTTTTTTATGTTTTTTTTTTCCTGCATATATTTGCATGTCGGTTGTACCACATGACTCTTTTTAAATTATTTTTTTAATTAATTCGTTTATTTATGTATTTGTTTGTTTGTTTGTTTACTATTTATTTATTTATTGCTGTTTATTTATTTGATTATAATAAATAAATACAATAATTAAAGTTTGCCAAAGTGATTTTAGCTTTTAGCTTGTTTGGATGTTGGTTAGACTCTGAAGATTATTTAATTAGTGCTGTGAAATGATTAATCGCGATTAATCGCATACAAAATAAATGTTTTTGTTTACATAATATATGTGTGTGCTGTGTTTATTTATTATGTATACATAAATACACACAGATAGAGTATATATTTAAAAAATATTTACATGTATTTACATGTCTATATTTATATTCATATAATTTATATTATAAATAAATATATTTAATAAATAAACATAACCTATTTTTCTGAAATATATACATGCATGTGTGTGTATTTATATATACATAATAAATATACACAGCACACACACATATATTATGTAAACAAAAACTTGTATTTTGGATGCTATTAATCGCGATTAATCGTTTGACAGCACTAGTATTTATACAAATTGTCTGTGCCTTTTTCTCAGAAGAGTGTCACCGGACGGACAGAGTTTTCGTTCTTCTATTGAAGAAAAGCCTTTAAAAAACCGAGTGCAGGGCAAAATTAAAGAAGACTCAGATGATGAGGACTATGAAAATGTAAGTTTACCTAGTCTGTTCTTTTGCTGATACTCTTGAGCTTAACTCAGGAAAACGGCCATTTAAACAAATTCAAGTTCATTTTAATAAAGGCATATTTTTACTTAGACGTTTTACTAGACGTTTCAGGATGTGCTGTGTACATTTTAATTCTTGGAGCTCAGGCTTGTTAACTTAAGGAGAGATGTTCAACATCTTTATAAACTTTCCTCTGTCTGCCAAAGCAGAAAACATCAAAAGCAGAGTCACTTCCTCGATGACATTTTGAATCAAAATAGATTGTGGAGGATAATTTCATAATACTGTTTTGTTTTGTTTTGTTTTGTTTTGCTGTTGCAACATTTACCAAGTTAAGTTATTTTTTAAACCATATGGTCACCTAACGTTTGACCTTGTTTAGTCATAACAATTAATAATACCTTTTTGTCACATGTTTTTTCTCATCAGGTGAATTTGCCTAACTCTGTCTTTGTGGACACAATGGAAACCAATAATGTCGAAAGGTAAAATTAAAAAAAATGTTTGTTACTCATAGCAATCAACGGTTTGATGCATTGTTTTTCAATAAAGAAACTGAATCTTTTAGAACAGTGAATCCAAACCTTTTTGTTTCTTTATCCAAGAAATTATTTGAAGGCATGTACAGTATATGAGCATGATAGCTGTATTTTTCTTTCTATTGCTGTCCTCTAGTGGAATGGAGTTGTAATTGTACTGTTTTTGCTTGAAGAGACTCGTCTAGTTCATGTGTCACTGTGTTCCATTACATTGTTAATTGTCTTCACTTACTGATTACAGATTATTTAAGGATACATACACCTGCCCACCGAACGGTCTGTACTGCATCCGCAAATCAGGAACAGGAAAAACATCACAGGTACAACTCAGACTCAGTATGCATATACTATAGGGTTAATAAATATAGATTGGCAATCAAACTTGTATTTATTTAAAAATGTGATTTTGTTACTGTTTTTTTTTGTTGCCTATTTTTTTTTTATTTAGTCATTTATCAGACGCTTTTATCCAAAGCGACTTACAAATGAGGACAACAGAAGCAATCAATTGTAGTATTAAAACAACTACAAAACAGATC